TTTTCTCATCAGATTTGCACAGATGTGAGAAGCAGGAAAGGCTCATCTTAGATTCATGACTAGGCTAAGGTCCCAAGATGAGTAAGGTTCTGCTGGGACGGGAACCCAGATCTTCTGACTGCTAGTACAGAACTGTATTTGGATTTTTCCCTGAGAAGATTTAACAAGTTGGTTGTGAGTAATGGAGAAGTCTGAGGTCTTTTTAATTCTACAAAAGAATTCAAAACATGAATAAATCGTGGAACAGCCATGTGAGCCTCTGCTTGCAATGATGATTCTAGTTTCTAAGTGTTCCTTCCTGGATTATTAACCTGGCACCAAAGGAGGAAAATCTGAGATAGCCCAGAAGAACAAATTAAAAATGTGAGAGAATCTCAGAGGCACTGAATTAAATCTTCATTCAGTCATTTATAATTCACAAAGCTCTGAAGGGAGCTCAGCGTTTAGCAGGTGGTAGCAACACCAATCCCACTGTCAGTCATTCTCTATTACCATGCTGCTGACTCAAGCAGAGAGGGCCACAGCCACTTTCCTCTCAAGAATGGATATAACACATTAGCTACATTGTGTGTTTATAAATGATTAGCCACTAGAAAATGTGATATACGACACCTAAGGACCAGAAGAGTAGAATGTAGAAAGAAAGTAAGATGCTTGTCAGAATGTGTTAAGGGAAATCATCAATTGCTACCTAGCCAGGGCAGTGCCATACTGGAACAAAAATGCTTAAATTTAAAACACAAATTTGTGGCATTTGAGTATTAAGTAAAACCCATCTCAGTGACTGGTGTGGGACAGTGGATAGGCCAGAAAATATCATTTCCTCGAAAGTTTTAGTCATCCTGAGTTGAGAACGTCAAATGAAAGAGCTATAGAAAAATTGAAGGTGGGGAGGGAAGCTTTACAAATATGAGGTACTTTGCCCAAGGCCACAAAGCAAAGCTAGCAGGTGTCAGAGCAGGGCCCACTCCCAGACCCACTCATGTCCTACCATTCCAGCACTGTCAAATTAGGCTTCGTAGGGATTAGCTCTCCCACTGGACGTTCAGTGTAGAACCCTTTGTATCAGAGCAGCTGGTCTCTTTCCCTTAATAGGAACAGTGTTTCCAAATGCCAGCTCTTGAAGTAGCTATGTATGAATCTCCTAGGGAGATTGTTTAAAATGCTGATTACAAGGCTCTGATACAGATCCAGCAGGCCTGGAACGGAACCCGGGAATCTGCATGTTTAGAAGACTCTACCGTTGATTCTTTCAGAACAGTCGGTCTAGATTAAAATCAAATACCCTTTAACACAGTCTCTATGGCTATTTGTTCATTTCCCAGGTTTTCTTCCACAAACCCAGTCTCCAGTGCAGGAACACCAGAAACCACCACAGGTACCTCTGGATCCTTCCATTTCAATCCTATACCAAGATATGCAGTGCAGCTCTCTCTCGATTGTGTGGTCTAGGCCCATGTCACCCAGCACGGAGGGGTGGCCTCCTCCCATCCCTGACACAGACTCCACAGGCCGTTTCTGCTGCAGCCCCTGAAGTCTTCCCACCACCATCCCCATCAACTGCAGCACAGCAACTACACCCTGTCCTGCGTCTCTTTGTCCAGGCAGTGGCACAGGATAGAGATACACTTAAGGACCTTAGTGTGCTATGAAATGATTCTTTTCAATGAGCAGATGTCCACACACAGGCTAAAGTTTTCTTCTTTTCTCATTGAGTCACATCTTTTGCTCAACCACCTTTGGATTTATTTTTTAGCTTCTTTATCCTAAGAATTCTTCTACATCTTTAAGAAATAGAGAATAAAGAGATATGCCTCAAGCCTCCAGTAGAGAGAGCAGTTTATATGCAGACTACGATGTAACTGAGGATCACCCCAGGCAGGGAAACAGCACATACTGTACAAGCCTGTGCTTCTGTGCCTTTCATGTTTGAAATCTTTCATTCTTCAGAGATCTTTTGGTATCAACTCTCCCTCACCCCCTGGCACTTGAAGAAAACTTTCTGGCTGCCTCACTCTAGGCTCTGAAACTTGCTTGCCGTTCCCCCTATTTGCTGCGCAGGGGCTGCATATTAGGAGTTTGTAAATCACCCCCACATAAAAAGAACTGAACAGAACCATCCATTTGAATTAACACTTCACAAAACAGTATTGCATGGGGACACAGAAGGCAGTGTCATGCACAAAGCTCCCTAGGTGAGAAGGCCGAGAAGGATGCCAGGGTAGAGGGCTGGCCCAGCCCCGAGGAAGGGGGACCTTTTCTGGTTTACATAGGCGGCTCTGGCTTTCATGTTTTACTCATTTCTAGATTTTCTCTCTTCCTATTCCCTTGTTTTTTGCAACTATCCTGCTCCTTTTAGTCCAATAAGCTATGGTAATGCCACATTTTATACAGCTAGACTCAGCATATCAGAAAGAGGCTTAAAGTGATGTCATTTGGAAAGGCGCTCCTATAAATCTAACTAAATGGCCTTACCTGTGGGAGCCTCACCCTGGCCTAGCCGGTTACCCGGACTCCAGGACCCATCAGGAAGTGAGAAGCATGTTGGGGAGACTTTCTTTCATCATGAGAAGAGGCAGAGTGAAGACAGGTACCTCCTAGTTCTCCCACATTACAGAGAGCAGAGTGGAGCCTGGATGCACACAAACTTAAGGCGTATCTAGGTAAGGACTGATACAGAATCATCTGATTGCCTTGGATGACCAAAACCATATCCATCTACTTTTCTTCAAAACTTCAAGTATCAAAGTGGCAATTTCAGTCATTTCCAGTTCCTTTCCCTCTCTACCTCATCTGTGATGTAGAGCTACTCTCCGGGTCCTGTACCTCTGCTTCTACCTTCGTCACTCCCAGCAGCCTGCCCTAGCCAGATCTGGTCGCATCGACTCGTCCACACCCAACCTCAGGTGGCATGCTATTCAAGACTTCTGACACTTTGGAGCCTACCTCCTGTACCCCACCTCTCCTCTCCAGTCCTGCCACTCTCTGCTCAAGCCAGGTGGACTGTGTCCTCGAGGGCCCCATGCCTTCCCTCCTAGTGGAAATTCTCGACCTTCAGAGCCCAGCCTCAACATCTTTTCTTTTTTAAACATTCTCACATTTCCCTAGTCAGGCTTAAAATAACTGTTGTACATCCATTAGAGTTTTTCTACACCTATGTCGGAGGAATTATCACAGTCTGAGTAACATAGTGGCTAACTGTGCATCCGTGTCGGTCCCAATAGATTGAGCGTTCCATTACTTACCAACTCTGCGACTTTGGGAAAGTGACAGCTTTACTTCTCATCTACGCATGGAAACGTTAATACCTGCCTCACAGAGTTTTAAAAACTGAGATAAAATGTATAAAGAAACCAGAACAGCTCCTGGCATGTCAATAATTCCTAGTGTTCCTGGGCTTCACCTGACACCTCTCTGAAGATACACTGCATCTCAGTCACAGCATGTGGGGTACAGAGTCAGCCTGCCTGGGTTTGAAGCCCACTTCTACCACTTACCAGCTGTGTGATCTTGGTCAAGTTCTTTGTCTTCACAATGTGTTTCCTCAGCTGCAAAATGAGGTTCATAAGAAAGCCTACCTGGTTGCGCTGTTGTAAGTATTAAATAAAATAAATAAAGCACTTAGAGAAGTACTTGGCATATAATAAGCATTACAGTTGTAACAGTGTGGGTTATGACTATCATCTCTGTATTTCCAAAGTCTAGCACAGAAACTGTGACATGGTTCGTGCTCAATGTAAGTTGTAGCTTTCACTTTGTAGTGCAATCTCATTAAGGTTTTCATCTGCGCTAAGTGTACTGACTCATCCCATTACAATTAGGTGTCTTCAACAGCTGACACCCATCTATAAAATGCCAAGCTGCTGCACTCTCTCATTGCTTTGTGAACCACCAATGAATGTAAATGTGAGTACAATTCAATAACGGTTTATTTAGTCTTGTATTGGTGTCTGTGCAACTCACAGGATATTGTCATATTATGTAATTTGATTAATTCGCCAATGGTCTATGAAGTGAATAGCACTCCTTAAAAAAAAAAAAGTATGGCAAAATATTTTTACATTGATTTTGTGGTAGTTGTTTGCAGTGTATCAAAAGATATCCTCTCAAGGGGCCGGCGGGAAGCGTGGCGGCGCTCCCGTCCGAGGGTTCGGATCCCACATACAGACCGGCTCCCGCTCACTGGCTGAGCGAGGCGCGGGAGCAACACCAAGGCTTGCAATCCCGTTGCCGGTCCCCGGTCCGGTACGGGGGCAACACTGAGGGTTGCAATCCGTTGCCGGACACAAAAAAAGGCAAAAAAAAAAAAAAAAAAAGAAGAAAAGTATCTCAATACAATAAAAGTCATATACAACAAACCCACTGCCAATGTCATCCTGAAAAGCTTTCAGTTTTTTCCCTAAGAACAGGAAGAAGACAAGGATGCTACTCTCACCACTCATATTTAACATAGGATTGGAATTACTAGCCAGAGCAATCAGGCAAGAGAAAGAAATAAAGGGCATCCAGATTGGAAAAGACAAAGTCAAATTGCCCCTGTTTGCAGATGACATGACCCCACATATAGAGAAACCTAAAGACTCTACCAAAGTCCTCTTAGAGCTGATAAACAATTTCAGTAAAGTTGCAGGGTACAAAATCAACATCTTTGCAAAGTTACTGTATTTCTGGATGAAATACATGATTAATAAAAACAAAATCCCATAAAATTTCTAATCTATACCTGACAATTGGGGCAGGATAAGAAATATTCCCTACTTCTCTGAATTTTGTTTTGGAGATTAAGTTACCATAAACCTCCAGAAGGAAGCCACTGTTGATAGTGAGGGAGGGGAGAAGGGGGAGTGGGGTTATACGTGTAAACAGAAAGACAGCAGTTCCTATCAACAATGACTGTTGAAGCAGTACCTACACAGTCAGGAGACTTCAGGAAAAGAGGTGTTAAGTGCAGAGCATAAAAGAAAGGAAAGTAGATTCCTTATGAATATTCAGAACTTTTATTTACTCTAATGCAGTTTTTCAGCCGTGGCACAAACATTTGGGGGTCAATAACTCTTTCTTGTGAGGGGTCTGCCTTGAGCATTGCAGGATGTTGAGCAGCACCCCTACCCTCTACATGCCAGTATCTCCTCTTCCCAGTTTTGACAACCCCAAACGTCTCTAGATGTTGCCAAATGTCTCCTGTAGGGCAAAATCACCCTGGTTTGGGAACCTCTGCCCTAATGGAATAAAATTAATAAAATTATTAGATAGAACATCTTATAGACTATTCAAATGTGCACACTCTTTTTAAGTTTTATTGACTTATAGAGGCTTATCCTAAAACTAATTGCCTGTAATAATACAAGGAGCCAGGATTATGACTGTGATACATATTCCCAGAGATGGGCCCCAGTGATCCTCTGTTCCTCAGGATGGAAGCTAGAAGGGGCTGAAGAAGGGAATAGGATGATATTGAAGAAAAGAGCCACTGGAAACTGCCAGTTGGTCATTCAATTAGCAAATCTTATTTTGGATGCTTGTGATACGCAAGAAACTGTAGAGAATATAGAAGTATAGCACATAAGTTTTTGTTTTAAAGGAGATTACAATCTCAAGTATTTCCAATGCAGTTCTCATCTTCAGCCTTTTTTCTTCCATTAAACATCTGGTTGGTATTTACATTCAACAGCAGGGAGTATTACAAATAATGTTATGCAGTCATAAAATGGGACTGTTAATGAACCAGGGCATATAGCTCATTTCTAGGTAATACCTCACTTAAATCATTTTAGGAAATTAAATATGATTAATTTTCCAAGAACAAGATGCCCAGCTTTTCCTCAGCAGTACCTTCCCCTGAATATCTTCTTTATAATGTGTAATACAAATACTGAAATTGTTACAAAAACTTTAACTAGAGGGCCGGCCCAGTGGTGCACTCAGTAGAGTGCGGCACTTGGGAGTGGGGCAGCGCTCCTGCCGAGGGTTCGGATCCTGTATAGAGACCGGTCTGCTCACTGGTTGAGTGTGGTGCGGGCGCGACACCGAGGGTTGCGATCCCGTTACCGGTCATGAAAAAAGACAAAAAAGAAAAAAAAAAAACCCACTTTAACTAGTAATTAAACTTACAAGTGAAATTAACTTATAATGATGCAAAAAGCAGTAATTTCCCCACAATGGGTTAGTAATATTTCTGTTCTTGTTTTTAAATATAAGGGATAAATAAATAAGTCTTAAGCAAAAAGAAATGGAGTACTCAAGGGCTTTAATCATATGTGTAATAAAAAGAACTGGCATAAAACCCACTGCAGTAATGTCCCTAAGGATTGTTATTTCTTTAAAACTATAAAATGCCTAAAGATTTTTTTTTTTTTGGTGGCTGGCCAGTATGGGGACCCAAATCCTTGACCTTGATGTTATCAGTACCACACTCTCCCAAGGGAGCTAACCAGCCAGCCCTGTACCTCCTTCTGAGTGAACTGTAAACAGGTATTTTCCCCTCTGCTACACTTTAGTAGACTTATATCTGAAGTGTACAACTTTATTAATAATTAAATAGTTGTTCGCAAATTAATGAGGATATTATATAGAAAGAAATGAAGCCCTTGACACAAATACCAGGATAAAGAAATTGTTCTGACTTCAGGTGTCTCAATCCTTGTTGGCACACTTTCATTACACAAATTTTAATTTATAGAATTATTTTTTGTTACTAAAAAACAAATGTATTTAAAAAATTCTAGAAGCCACCGCTTTTTAAATAGTGATTTATGTGTTATGCACTCATATGCAATAAATCCACAAAGTGGAACAGTAGTATTTCAATTCTTATTAATGGATCTAAATTAGGACTGAGCTTAGGAAAGTCACTTAATTCCTCCAGGTCTTATCTATAAAATGGGTATAAATACCTCCTTTCTCTTACCTTAGATAGTGGTCCTGAGGATCACATAAGAAAATGTAGTTGTCAGGAGAAAAGCACTCCTACAAATGCTGTAGCAGAACTGCTGCCATAATATTCAGTTACAGTCAAATTCTTTCAGTCAAATCAGTGAGCTTCTGTGCTGTTCCTGCCAGCCTTACAGAAAGCTGGAGGTAGGTACTGTGTCCCCTGCTGTTGAAATGTGAATACATATGGTTGTTGGTTAAAAGGAAAATCACTATACTGGAAATAATGCCTTTTAATAATGAAGGTGAAAATACTAAAAGAAAAAATTTAAAAATCTTCAAAGAGGAAGCAGCTACTTCAATGCAATAGCAACACGACTTCCATTTATTACACTGAGATGAAGCTAAATAAAATTGATGCTGATCAGAATGTGTTGGTCCTCAAACTTTACCTGCTTCTCTCATTTAGATTCCTTCACACTTCCTATTCCCTAAGCCCTCAATGTGTTGGGCTTCTGGACTCAATCTCTTCTTACACCTCCTCTTTGCTCCTTCCCCAAGCAAGGGAGAAAGCTTCTGATTAATGCCGGAAATTTAACTGAATGTTGGCTGGAATAGATTTCAGAAAATGTTAATGGATCCAGCTTTTAACCTTTAAGCCACTTGTTTTCAACTGTGTAATAAAAGGTTCTGGCACCCTTTAAAAGGAATGCCGTGTACCAGGCAGAGGCTTATCTTTTGTTTCTTTTTCTTTTCTTTTGCAGGGAGAGGGGTAGTGGTAGTTACAGTGGTGGGTAGTGTGATGGGTAGAAAATGTCTTAAATGCTCATTAACGTAAAAGGTACCTTGCCTTAAGGTAGATACTCCAACAGAATGTTTGTCAGGTAAAGAGAATTTCTCTTATTCATTTTCATATTTCTAATCCCTAGAATAATGCCAATTCATAATCTACAGTAGGTGTTTAACTGATGTTTGTTCAGTCAGGTCACCCTGATTTGGATCTCTCAGCTGACTGTAATAAAGGGTCTAGCTGCATCCTCAGTCCCTGCTGTCCCTAGCACAGGTATCCCTGCAAACCCATCTCAGCCCCAGGCTTGGCCACTCCAACCTTCATCTCTCTGGCCTCCAAGACTCCCAAAAGATGGGTGTACGCATGGATTTAGAACCATACTGTGTTTAGTACGTAATGTCTTCACGCTGATGCCCCGGAATGCACAGCTACTGTTTCCATAATGTCCCAGTGCTGGGCAACTGAGAAAAGATACAAAATCCACATTAACCAAGAATTCCTTCCCACCAAGACTTGTAAAACTCTGCCACACATTTTTGGAGATTACATTTTTGACTTTAACATTTAGAAATGTATTTTTTTTTTAATTTAAAGGAGAATTTTAGAAGTTTCCAATAAATCATCAGTTTTCTCACCAATTCAGGAAACCACTTTATCAATTAATCTTTTATTTCTTAATGCACACATCGATATTTTACAGAAAAAAATAAAGAACTCCTTAAAATGTTAAACTGCAATTAGTTACATATATGTCTTCTTCTGATTCTTTCCAACAAAGATCTAAAGTTTTACACAAATATAATTAATAAACATAATAATTTATGTTATAATTAACAGTTTTCAGTCTCACATTTTTGCAAACAATTTTACACATATCAGTATTATTTAATGGCTACATAAGAGTCTATGATAGTAGTAGCAATACACCAAAATTTACTTATCCACTTCCCAGCTGTTGGGCTTTTTTTCTTTTTAAAACTTGTATAAATGGAATTGCTAGAGACGTCTTTGTACAGGTAGTTTTTTCTTTCAAATATTTCCTTGGTCATATTCTACTCAAAGTGAGTTTGTATGTCAAAAGATAGACCTGTTATAGAGCTCTTGCTTTATTCTCCTAAATAGCTCTTTAAAAATACTGCTAGTATACAATGTCCTGGTAATGAGGGCACCTATAATTTTTAAAAATTTTGCTAATAGCACAAACTAGGTCAAAATTGTTACAATTTGCATTTTTACTAGGAAATTTGAATACCATTCTAAGAACTGATTTTTGTATCTTCTCATTTGTACTCCATTCCTTTATAAATTTGTCCAGTAAATAGAGTACAAAGCCTTATGGATATGCATCCAGTTTTTAAAAATATTAAGCACTACCTATACATAATGCAAATAGCTTTTTCTATTCCATCTTTTCTTGTTTTGTATCTTTTTCCTATTTAGTACACATTTTTCATTTAGTTGATCTACCTTGCTAACTGCTATGAAGTTCCTTCATACCACTTTGGGATGAGAATTATAGTTTTTAAAAAATTTTTACCTTTATGCTTAACATAAATTACAATATCATATGTAAAGTGGACCGAGTATCTTTTTCCATACTAAAATCCACTAATCTTTTCACCAGCAGTTATTAAACATTAATTTCTTTCTAATTGGTTTAAGATACTTTTTACTCTACAGAATACTTAGAAAGGCTGCTTAACAGCACGTTTTAAGGATTTAAAGGACAAAGCTCCCATTTTTCCCCTAAATTAAAAAAATTTACATGTATCTTTGCTTGCTTACTTTCCTATGTAATTTATCACAATTCTGTCACATTACATAACACGTCCAGTTGGAATGTTAAATGGAACTGTAAAAAATCTACATACAAATGTTACATATTGGCATCGCTTTGGATGTGATTTTACACATTACCTAATTTAATCCTCACAATAATTTTATAAAATATTATTTCTATTTTATAGATAGTGAAATGGAAGCAAGTAGTGATTTTCCTAAGACGATACAACTGATAAGTAGTGAAGCAATGACTATAATCCTGGTTACTCAGAGGACACTGCATTTACTATTCTCCCATTACACCAGGATGTCGCCTACGGGAAGTTTACCCATTTTTAAAATTTAGTTCAACCTGCGTCTGTTTAAGCATTTTTCTTAATTTATCCCAACAGAGTTGTATAGCTTTAAGTGGCTCATATATATTAATACCCAAACACTTTTTAAATTGCAGTTTGTCACTGTCAGAATCTAGAAATGAGATTTTTAAAAACTGTATATCCTGCAACTTCTTGAATCCGTCTTTTATTGTTAATACATGTACATGACACAATACGTTTGGCTAGTTAGAAAGCCATGTTAACAGAAAATAATATTTGTGCTGCTTTCTTTCCCTACCTTCCTCACGCTGCGAATGCTTATTTCTATTGCAGTGACAAATTTCTTCAACCACATAAAAAATAAAAATGGTGCCAACATTGTTTAATTTCTGCTGGAGAAATGTTTCTCATAGGTCTTCCCAATAGGAATAATGTTGGTTCTTCATTTTAAATAATTACTTATCACAGTGTGGGAAACCTATAATTACCAGAGACAATTAAATCAAAGAATGATGAATTAAAAAAACCTATCTGTAGTTAATACTTTGGATTTTGACCATTTTGTTCTGTTAATGTTGATTTAATGGTTGTTCTGTTGAACACCAGCCTTGTAATCCTGAGTAAGGGTAAAAAATTATTTTTATCTGTTGCTGTACTGTTTGCTAATATTTTGTATTTGTTCAGAATGAGACCCTTTTTATAATGTTTGACTTTTAGAACTGAGGCCATATTTGTTTCAAAATGCAATCAGAAGCATACTATCTTTCTTAATACATATTTAGATAGATATTTATTCTATAAACATTTGAAAAAGTTCACCAATTAGCCCATTAGAGTTAAATTTCAAGTTGTCAGAAAATTATACCAGATTATAATAGCTCCTAAGTTTTTAAAGCCTTTTTTGTTGGTTAAAACTTTTCTCATTTCCAACTTATTCTGTATTCATTTAAGAAATATATTCATTTTTTAGTTTTTTAAACAACGCTTATTTTTGACTAGTCTTTTTTTCTATTGCCATTATATTCAGCTATATCACCACTAGCAACTTCCTCAATTTCTAATGAATAATGAATGATACTGAAGAACTCTTCAGAAGGTCTAGATTACCTTTATCTCCATTTTAGTTATCATCTTTAAATTTTTTTCATTTTAATTCCTATTTTATAGGTCTGCTTCAGGCATTTCAGTTATTTTGATAAGTTTAAACCTTAGGATCCACCCAATAACACCACTTTATTATATTCAATAATATCAGTATTAATGCCAATCCAGGACTGTCTACTTTCTATAAGCTGTAAATTACGAAACCCTTTGTCTCATTTTCCTCACATATAGAAGAGCAACAAGACTGTATTCAGAGCACATTTTGGCCTAGTAGCATTTGTATTTTTTTAACAATACAATCATCAGCTCAAGATGTTACTGAAGAGCATTATTTTGTTAGTACTTAGCCAATTCCACTTCAATGAGATCCACAGCTCTAAAATATATTTATATGTAATTAATCTTAATCTTCACATTTCTCTGGCTCGATATGCTGCAAGACCAGTGTCGGTCTCCTTTTCTTTCCCAGCAACGCTAGACTGATTTTCAGTTTAGCATTTCCTCCTTCTACATAGTACCTACTCTTATAACAGTGAACACTAGTGGAAAGATCAAGGGTTTTGGAATCATGAAAGCCTGGGTCCCAGTGTTGGCTCTTCCACATACCAAACTTGGAGCGAACTGTTAATAATTTGTTTCCTCCTCCCAGTGGCGCACTGGAGAGTGCGCCACTTGGGAGCGAGGCGGCGCTCCCGCTGAGGGTTCGGATCCCATGTGGAGACCGGTTCCCGCTCACTGGCTGAGCACGGTGCGGGCGCGACACCGAGGGTTGCAATCCCGTTACCAGTCAGTAAAAAAAAAAGACAAAAAAAGGAAAAAAAAAAAAAAAAAGAGTTTAGGATGGGCCGGCCCGGTGGCACACTGGAGAGTGCGCCGCTTGGGAGTATGGTGGCGCTCCCGCCGAGGGTTCAGATCCCATGTGGAGACCGGTTTCCGCTCACTGGCTGAGCGCGGTACGGGCGCAACACTGAGGGTTGCGATCCCATTGCCGGTCAGTAAAAAAAAGACAAAAAGGAAAAAAAAAAAAAAAGAGAAGGGTTCGGATCCCATGTGGAGACCGGTTCCCGCTCACTGGCTGAGCGCAGTACGGGTGCAACACTGAGGGTTGCGATCCCATTGCCGGTCAGTAAAAAAAGACAAAAAGGAAAAAAAAAATTGTTTCCTCTGTGAAAGTATATGCAATAATATCTGCCTCACAGGGTCACTGAGAAACTGTATTGAGAAAGCACTACATGCCCAGAGCAAAAAGTGCTCTGTTCCAGGGCAAAACTGTCATGAAAGGGCTTGCTTCCCATGGGGTCACCATTCGCTGCTCAAGGAGTGGAAATGGGACTAAGCAGGAAGGAAGGTCACCTCTTCTGACAGCTCCACATGTTTTCACGGGAATGCCATCAGTCTTATGACCTCTAGTGGTGGTGGGGGGGCCCTATCCTCTAGATACCAGCGAAGAGGCAGAAGTGATTACAAAGGCTGTTACCTCACTATTTATGGGGTGGGACACAACCGAAGGGGCATGGAAAATCCTCCTTTGATTCACTATCAGTTGCAGTCAGTGTTGCTAATTTAAGTGGTAGCAGAGCCAACGAGGTGGTGTGTTCCATTGTCACTGAGGAACCTCGGGTGATCTGTTTACAGAGCGTTAAAAAACCATCCATAATCTCAGGTGCAAAATGCCTCACTTAAGTTTCTCAGGAATTCCTGCTTAGAAATTTTAGAACTGGCCATTCTGAAGTATCTTTTTCTGCAGGATTAATTTCTTGTTTTGTTGAAAGTTTTTTTACATGCTGGAGCAGGGCTCTGCAGAAATTTTTTGAAGTATTAAACCAGAAATAATGTTATTCTCTAGATTTTCTTCGAAACAAACCCCCCCCAAAATGAACTCTTCAACTACTAATGGAACTTTTCGTAAAGTAGAAGACGGTAGTGATGGGTCACCACCTCCTCAGTTACAAGGTCAAGTAGGTGAATTAAACTGCAAAATGTACTGTAAACATCAGACCTATACAAAGAACGATCATGCAAAGCTAATCTTTTAACAATTATACACAAATGTATTTTATCATATTGGCACTTGTGTTAATTGCTATTACTACCACCATGTCTACATGTTTATATTACATACAAAAGACCTACATAATTTACTATTTGTGTGTTTTTCTATATTCAGAGAGAGGTGGTAGCAACTGTAATCGCTGCAAA